AGAACTGTCGATGCACAGCGGGCACTGCCTTGACCAGAAGTTGCAGCCTTCACACACGATCGATCGACAGACTCGACAGGACTCGAACGTGGGGAGGCGACAAAGGATGCAGAGGGGGGGAATGTACTCGACGTCATAGGCCACGGCCCCCAGGATCGCGCGGATGGCCCGGCCGGCATCCGCGACTTCGCGGGGAATGCCTGGGGTCCCAACCAGGGACGACCATGGTTCCCGCCATGGCCGCCGCCCCTGCTGCCAAATCCGAACCAGCCCGAAGAACTCCTCGGTGTCGATGCCATCGTCCCCGTCGTCCAGCCGCTCCACGGCCAGGCCAACGTGGACTGGCAAGATGTCCAACGGGCCCAGGTCGAAGGCAGTCCACTGCAGCGCCAGGCGGTCCAAGCGCGCCGCAGAGGCATGGTAACGCTGCCACGCGACCGCTGGCCCAAGTCCCTCTTGAACCAGCAAGCAGCGGCGGCTCCACGCGCCAACCCATGGGAACTGGAAGCCGCCCCGACGTTCGGTACACCTTGCGCACGGGATGTTAGTGCATACGAACCGACGAACCGGGGGGAACCCAGCGGATGGAGAGGGGTTGCCCTGGAGACCCCAGATGCACCAACTCCACCACGGAGGCCCAGAGGCGCAAAGCGTCCCGCTCGCGCCCCTCAGCAACCAGCTCCTGAAGGTGAGCGCTGAACTCCATCCACGCGGCGGCATGGATCACTTGGTACCTGGTGTAGGCAGCAAGGCTGGTTCCCAACTCGCTCATGGGAAAACAGGGTCCCTCCCTGCACCCCAAAAAAAAAAGAACTGTCTCTCCAAGGGTTCCGCCCTCAAAAAGAGAGAACAAACGCTATTTTGGCCAAGTCACTTGAGCCAAAACATTCGTTGGTTCAAACCTATGGCAGTAATGAATACATGTTCACCCAAGCCTGCCAGACCTGAAACATGTTTATATTATATAATCAAGTTGTCGGCCTCCACCCGCATGTCTCCGTGCCTACAAGCCTGTCATCTGATGGCCCCAGCCTTCGTTGTCTTGCAGAATTTCTACCAACCTCTTTGCATCGTCCACCTCGATGGCAGCTTGGACCTAGGTCGAGGCCACCCGCAATAGCTTCTTCAAACCAAATGTCACTTTGAGATCCCCCAGCCTTCTGCCAAACAGCGTCCAGCTGCATGCTCTTTGCAAGCTCCTCTGCCTCCTCTCGTCTTTGTTTAGCTTCATCCTGCGTTCTAGATCTCAGCAGTGCTTGGATTTAGGAAGGATCAGCAACGGCAAGAATGATCGCAGCACAAAAGAGCTTCCTTCTTCCAGCCCTTTCTCGGTAGCACACAACACCCCGCTGGGGCCTCCGCCAGGATCTCCTCTGCAGACGGGAAATGGTCAGCCTGCACCTCGCCACTCAGAGCGGCCAGTTCCCTCTCGGCCCAAGCCACCTTGGCCAGGCCAGTACAAAAGCGGAAAAGGGTGACTGTCATGACTCATGACGGTCATGGTCAAAAACTCCAAAGTAGCAAAACAAAAAGTGACGGCAATTAGCTTGGCACTTCTATCTCAAGCAGCTTTTCGGCGGCTGCTTCCAGAGCTGTCTTGAGCTGCGCGGCATCTTTGCCTACAATAAATTTCGCCCATCAACAGTGGAGTGGTTGAACCAAGAACTGCATCAACTCCACAGATTTCAAACAGGCACCGTTCGCGGCTAAATCAGGGTCTCAGTGTTCGACTGGCCACCGCTTGGTGCAGTTCTATTCGTGCAGCTGTCTGTTTGGCAAGGACCTCCTAGTCTTCAATCAAACCGCCCCTGTCCTTTCTTGGGAGACTTACGCAACAAAGAATACGCAAACTAATGCCTTGGAGCAAACAGAAGGGTGCTAGTTTGAACCCTGTGTCATTTACACATCATGACACGATTGACTTGTCCAAATTTCGATGGTGTTCCTGCTTGGTGCAACAGTGCAACAGCATGAAGGGACAGCTTTAAAAGCAATGCCGTCCTTGAGTTCGGCGAGTTCTTGCGCCGCACCGTGCTCTGCAGGATAACCCATGGCCAAACATGAAATGGCAATAAGGCACCTTGCTACTCATAGCGTCCTTGCTACTAGTAGCGATGCCCTTTGTTCCTAGTAGCTTCTTGTTACTAGGCCCTAGGCCATGCCTCAGTCGATGTTTGCTACTTTTGGTTTCTGTCGTGTCCATCTGCCTGCGTGTCGACTTCATCATGGAGCAGCTGGTCGGAGGATTGAGGAAAAGGATGTATAGCAATTTGAATTACAACTTGACTCTTGCAGGTGTGTTGTCGGCATCATCCTGGTGCTGCAAAAGCTAACTGTCTTTCCAGACTAGGAGCCAGGTGCTGAAAATTTGCTGGATGGTGGCAACGCACGTCCTACTAAGTTCTAAAACTGAAGTGAATCTAGAACCGACGTCCAATTGTGTGAACCTTCTTGTTCGGGTGATTTTCTCCTTTGATGGTGAAACTGTGGAATGGTGCGGATCAACCATTTATGTACAAAACATATAAATAAATACTTTAGCCAGTCCGGCCGCATTCAACCGGCTTGGCTTGATCGCATGGGCCTTCCAAACTCGGGCATCTGCGTCGGCACCTTGTCTAGGAACTTCTCCCACAGAAGTTGCCGCAATTGCTCGCCGGCTTGTTCCATAACCTCGATCGTTGCAGCATCATTGTGCGCGAGTGCAGCCTGGCAATGCGCGACCAATCTGCAGCATCGGCCAAAGCCGTCGAAGTCTGCTTCGGTTGCTGAAGTGACAGAGGCAATCCAAATCTGTTTCAAGACCTTGCGTGGCAAGCCGGACGTCTTTAAGTACTCAGCCAAGGGATCGGAATCCAGCGTTGATTTGCCAGTGGAGAAGGGAAGAAGCTTGTTGAAGGCCTCTCTGTAGTGTACCTCCTCAGCTCTACTCCAGGTGGGTTGCTTGCCAGCCGGCTTTTCCTGTGGCCGATCTGTCTCAGCTTTCCGAAGATCCGGCGAGCGGGACTCTAACCTGAACATCGCATTTGCATAGATCGGATGCTTGAATCAGGACATTCACCAAGAAATGCTGACAAAAAAGATCAGTCCAAGCAACTCCTTCTCAAACCAATCATCGGCTGGAGACCCCGGTATTTGGTATGCAACGCGCACCTCAAGAAAAATGAAATACAATACAGGAAGCACGGAAGCACAGTCTCTTCAATGCAATGCGTGGCAGGGCCTTGTCTGGATGGATATGGGTGATCCGGCCAGGGCACCACATATTATTGGACCGGCTGAACCTCAGAGTGCTTTTGCACACTTTTTGCAGCACACGAGTCACATGAGCCACCATGCTTTTGGTAGCTCATCGGTGCGATGCAATAAGCTTCGCCACAATTTGTTTCATTGTATTGAAAGTGAAAGCATCGAGTTTCTTGAGGAGGCAGTATCAACTGGTCACGCGAACTCCCTTTCTTGATGCGATCACTGGCACACGTCCACCCATTCTCCAACTGACCATGAGGAAGATCCCGGCGCAGAATCTTTTGCATCAGAGACGGTCCTGAAATGACTTTGGCTTTGAAGATGCAACGCTTTTTCCGCACTTTCGCTGCCAAGGAGCGGCCGGCGAACGTCCTGTACAGGATGCCGGCACAAAGAGGAAAAAAGAAAGTCGAAGGTTGAGCAACCCACTCACGACTCCGCCCCCGGCATCTCCTTGGACCCCAATGGCACCTGAGTTGTCAGTTTGCAACATAGGAAGAACAATCCCATCAAAGCCTCGGCTCTGCACCTTTTTGGTCGACATTTCTCCAGTGCCCATGTCGGAGGCAGCGACCCAAAACACAGCTTCCAAATAAGGTGGAGACCTTAAGGTGATGATCGATGCGGTACAACGGTCGCAGGCAACGCCCATCCACACTTGCTCAGCTATGTTCCTTGCCAATTTTCTTCCACGAGCTTGACATAGCCAGTGCACCATTGTTGACCTAGGTTGTCAGCAATGCTTGCGAAATCTTATAATCATCACTTAGCTTCTAGATCCATGTTTTGACGAAGGCACGTGAGTGACTGAATATTTCAACTTGATCGCCAGGTGCGAAGCTATCTGCATTCGGCCTTCTCTGCTCGAGCAAGCTGACAGGTGGTTAGGTGAGTAAACTGAAACTCATGTTCGTCACTTCTCGCAAAACTGCCCGTGTCCTTAAAGCTTCTGGCGAAGCCCTGGAGGCCCTTGAGGCAGACGATGCAGGGCTCACTGGAGATCCATGCGCCTGACCATATCCCTCATGTCCTCGTCAGCTGACACAACAACTGTGAAGGGTGTCCAAGTTCGCCGCGTATGTCTTTCTCCTCCCCTTCCTCCCAATCATTGTCCTGCTTTGGCTGGCGCCGGTGCTTCGAAGGTCTCTGGCTGTGGCTGTTGATTGAAGATATTGGCCACGGCCATGACACCGTCCACAACCTGAGAGCAAAAGCTCTTCCCATGAATGGTAAAAAGCTTGATAAACTTTGACTAGCCCGTCACAACAGTAAACAGGTATACGGTATAGTGTGTATATTTTTTCGGGCAGAGGTAATCGAAAATCCCTGGCACCCAATGGAAGACGGGTGATGGGCAAGGCACAAGAAGCTTGAAGGCACGTCTTCGGTTCAAACTGATGCAATGTTGCGCAGCTGCTGCAGCCCCCTACCATTAAGGGAGCTGAAGCATCCTTTGATAGCTTGTATTCCGGGTATTCGGTTTCTGTCCACAGCATGTCAGACCTGGTCGCATCACAAAGCATCTCACCATAAGAGCTATATATATATATACAGTATAGATATAATCAGAAGAAAAAACAGTAAGAATATGGCTATGTCAATCAAAGGTCGGCCATCGATCCCAGCAAACAAGCATGGATTTGTGTGCAAATGGTCAACCACGAAGGTTTGTAGTTTTTTGAACGTTGTTTGAAACCTGCCTGCCCTCAAAGACCCCGACATCATCTAGTCCAAATCCAACTGCCCACAGTAAATTAGGATCCAAGTATATTTATAAGGATCCCAGGATACACTATCCCCCTGTTGCCTGTGATTTTGCAGGCTGTGGTTTGTTGTGCGTCAGCATCATCGAATGGTTTGTTGATGAAAATTCAGCCATACGTCACCGTAAGTCGGCTGCATGAAATGTCACAAGAAAGACTAAGTGAGAGACAGCTGCTGGGGCAGCAATGGCGAGCCTAACCTGACTCCTGAAAAGGATGCACTGCAACTGGCCTTCACTGAAAAGCTGCCATCAACCAAAAGAAACCCATCATAAAGATCATAAAGTAATTGGTCCTTAACATGGCCCCGACACCCGCCAAACTCGTCACCCAGCCCGGAAGAGGCCCAACTCCAAGAGAAATGCACAAAGCATCCTCAGCAAAACAAGTCAAAGGGTGCCGGAACCACTAGGCCACTAGGCGGGGTACGTTCTCATGTCCCAAAACAGAAGAACCCAAACACACTTGAAGAAACATGTTGGGAGGTGAGGCAACGCCACCGACAATTGAAATATGTTTGAGCTTGTGGACTTGCTGTGAATGTGCGAGCATGAAGCTATGTGGGGCAGAAGGCAGCATTCAAAACCTATGGTTTCATTCTTCATTCGCGTCAAGCTGCAGAAAAATGACAACAATTTCTGCGCAAAAGGTCGTAATCATCTCCTTTCCACTCCGGTTTCAATTTCTCGATCAGCCTCAGCCAAACGCGGCATTGAGCAAACAGAACCACGAACTGGAAATCTTGTTCCTTCACTTTGCACTTCTTCACTGCACTACTCAGTTACCAACAGTTTGACATCCTGCTTCGTCATGGTCGTGGTGCCCATGTCGACCGGTTCGCGATAGGAATGTGCGTCACAGCCTGACACGCCGCTCCCGTGAATCGGCCCCTTCCGCCTTTCGGCCCCTTTCGGCCCCCCAGCCTCTGGGCGGGCAATGAAAAATGCCCGTGTGGGTCTTGCCGTTCGAGCCGCCACCAAAGCTCCACTCAGTGTCATAAACTTCCACGCCTCAATATGAGGTTTGACGCGTTTGGGACCACACTCACGCTTACTATATAACGACAATCCATCTGCGAACAACGGCAGCACTCCACACATGGCGTACCACATTTGGGGTCACATTGTGTACGCGGCCAGGTGTCCTGCATGGAATGCCCCAGTGCCGATGGCTTTGCACACCATATTCACGCCAGCAAACTGCTTGCCCAAATCCTTAGGTGCAAAGGGTGGCGCCGTGCGAATCAAGCCAGAAAGGAAGAAAACGTGGAAGCCAGGCCGCATAGATGTGCAAAGTCACCCGGGCTGGTTTCGGCTTTTTCCCGAGCCCAAACATGACTTTCGGCTACACATAATAGCGCTACTTTCCCAGAACCAAAAAGTAGCTACAGTATATGCATTGACCGCGATCATGCTATCCCTCTTCCAGAAGCAAAAACACACAACACAAAGCACGATCTTTCCTCAACGCCCATATCTCTGGATCACTTGCACAGTCCAGTTGCCACGGTTGCTCCAGCTCCTCACAGACTTGCAAAAACTTAAAGCTTGAACAGTTCACCAGGTGAAGTAACTGTGGCTAGAAGCTACTAGTAGCAGGGGCATCGCTACTAGTAACAAGAGCATCACTATAACACGTAATTCTAGTTCTTGCATTCCACCTGATTTTTTGAGGTTGAGATCGAAGCTGCCAAGTTGAATTCGGCAGGTTAAGAAATGTCCTTTGCAGTACGTGTTGCCAGTAGCTTCTAGCTACTGGTAGCGATGCACTTGTTACTAGTAGCGATGCCCCTGCTGCTAGTAAGAGCGCGGCTCACTTGTGCGATAACTTGGGCTGTTGTTTCTGCCTCTGGTCAGCATGCAGCATATCAAGCTCGACATCCCAGCAAGCCCGGTTGATCTCAAACATTAACATCCAATTCCACGGAGAGGGCTAAAAAAGGCATAATCGCACATTACAGCCGGCCTTGCCTTCATTGTTCGTCTCTTCTAAGGTCCTGGGCACCCTCTTGTCCCAAATGCACCACGTGCCCAAGTGGATGGAGCTCAGTTCCTGCTACCCTGTCTTCGATGTCATTTAATTGGATGACTTTGGATCTGAATGGCCACCGAGTCTTGGGACACAACGCAGGCACGCCAGGCCTCAACCAAACCAATTCGTTCCTTAGATGACTGTGGATCGCTGCACCTTGACAGGCTGGTAGCGACTTGTGGGTATGCATGTCATGTCCCACCTCAAGGTCCTTTTCTAAAATTGGAAGGTACATAATGGCACATTTGAATGGAATTGTTGGGCCCCTGGTGTTTGGGACCTACATGCCACAAAAAAAGGAAACTAGGGGGCGAGCTTTCCCAGCTTCAAATGGTGCCTACGCGTGGCACCTACGTGCACTTGGTGTACCGTGCAGCTTATGGTTCACCCTTCAAAGCGGCTAAACACGGCAACATTTGCCACATTCTCGGCTCTGCAAGTTGCAACAGGCTGCGACTGAGGTCGTTGCAACTACGTGTTGATGGATACAACGGCCTGCGAAGGTGGAGCCAACGCGTCAGCCAGGCGATACTGATGCCATTTGTGCCATGTGGTCACTAAGGCCTTGCTTTCTTGAAAAGGGTATTCATGCTGCTAGTGGGAAGTATGGTTATAGAAGTCCAGAGTCCAGCGAGAAACGACTTCATCTAGCAGCTAGCAGAATGGAAGGCAAAAAGTGGTTGAGGTCCCCATAGTGGATTACTTGCCAACTTGCTTCGCTTCTTCAACAGGAACGAATTTACTGTCCCAGTGCCAAAGCTACCTAGACTCACACCAAAGGCCAATCTTCCATCTCTGCTGCACCAGCAAATGATAATAATGTGGGAGCAAGTGCAACCATGTGCAACCTATATTATTGCGAATCCTGTAGGTAATGGACCTCCTATCCTACCTACTCCTAGGTTGCCTCTACCTACAACCAACCCTGTGAACGGACCCTGTCCTTGTTTCCTCCGTGCGTCTCAAGTCCCACAACCCCGCCCTCCCTTGGACTCGTGCCAGAAGCGGGGCGATACGAACTCTGCTCGACGGTGACTGCACATTTCACATTCCACTTATTTTCTAAGTGTCTTTGTCTTCCTGAGTTTTTCTACTTCCATTTATCCAAGAGAGTCTGTCCCTCCTATCTGCTCTCTCCTTAAGTGCAGCCTCTTCGTCGAATACGCTATATTTGCCTTGTGCTAAGCACTGTCGAAGCAAAGTGCTCTCCATGGCTTTGTCAATGAGTCTGCCAATTGTGCCTGAGAACTTACCCACCTTAGTCTACAGTTCTCCTTGAGTCTTTCCCTAATCAGGATGCACTCTAGGCATGTCCTATACTCTTCACAAGTCGGGGTGGAAGTTTTAGTGGCAACATCAAGGACCGATTTGCAATCGGTGACCATGGAGGCTTTCGGTGCCTGACACAACATCTCTGCAGGCTCCATCACATTGCTTCCGGGATGTTTCATCCATTCCCAGAAGAGACGAATCCAAGAAAGCCTATCCAGGGAAGAACTGAGCGCGACAGCCTCTGCGGACAACGTGGATCTGACCACTCGAGGAATACGCTTGGAGCTCCAAGCAATTGGACACACAATCCCCACTTGATTGTTTTCCAAGCTCCTGTCTGTTGCGAAAACTATCGTTCCTTGTCGGGATGCAGCATCCTTGTTGGTTGCAAAAGAAGCGTCACTGAAAGCACAAAATGTCACTTCACTGGTTGGGATTGGCAGTATGTGCAAACACACAGCATGAGACTTTGCCTCATGAAGAATCCTGTTTAGAGCTAACATCTCCCCTACAGTCGCCTTCGTGACCTTAGACTGTATTTCCCCTACCTTAGCAGCTAAATCAGGTCTAGTGTTGACAGCAGCATACTGCAACGATCCGCACAGTTGTCGAATTTCCTGACGTTCCCCTTCAGTCACCACGGAGAGTGGTTCATTTCGGCGGTGTTTGGGAATCTGGATGGGATTGATTCTCTCGATGTACTCCCTCTGATCCAATTCGATCGATCCATCATCCCATTGAAAGTACCGCGCTCCACAAAAGACAAAATTCTTCTTATGGAAGGCCCCAAAGCTGTACACCTTTTGGATTTTCTCCAGGACCTCGTGGAAGTAACTGTCACCACCACCCAAACCATCATCAACGTGTATACCCAACAGACCACGAACCCTCGGCTTATCATCTTCTCCTTGAGTCACTAAAGAAAACACACAGCTATCAAAAGGGGAACAAACAAAACCATGGTCTTCCAACACCTTTCGAAAAGATTTGTACCACAGGTAAGGTCCATCTATTCTGCCATAAGCCCCCCCTTTGAGTTGGCACTGGTCTGTCCTGGTCATTTTTAAAGCCGAAGCAAGTTCTGCCGGCGCGTGGATCCCAAGTTGTCTTCCGTCTCCCTGACCCTTCAAAAATGCCGTTGAGACATCGAAACTCACTAGGTCCCATCCCTTGCTAGATACTCCCTGAACAATCAACATCCTACCATCTTTGGACAAAGTGGGCGCATCATTAGGGATGTGGGAAATACCTGGGTCAGTGAAACCTAACACCACGAGGCGAGCTTTCGCTCGTTTCTCACCTCCTGGTTGGTCTGGAGGCTTCCAGACCAGGATCCATCGGCACCTCATGATTTCTTCGGGACGGAGTGTCCCTTGGGCGACTCGCTTCACTGTATCATGCTGAAGTCAGGCTTGGATCTCCTTGTCTTTAGCCGCACGAAAAAGGACTTTGTCTTTTTCACTTAGATCTTCCCATCTGAGTTCAACTCTCTCCTTCTTTGCATTCGTCACTCCAAAGGTGTCCCAAACAATGTGGATCTCCTCACATCTGTCCCCTTGAAAAACTGGGCCATCCCTAAAGGAAATCTCATACATGGGAGGATCAAAAGTGGCTAAGACATCATCCCCAAAAACGCACAGTTCATCATCATCATTCTCATCCGGAATTGGGACTTCTACCCCATCTACCTCCATGTCGTTTTCAGTGGGTGTGTAACTTCCCAAATCTCCACTTGCCTCACTGGAATTTGGGGGAGAAATCTCACGTTCCGGTTGAGGTTCTTCAGCCATGGACGGTGCAGAACTCAGGACTCCTTCTTCGGGACCTTCTTCGGGAATATCATCCAAAACCACATAGTCACGAGGACCTACTCCTTCCCTCAACACTTCATCCCTCACGGGCGGTGTTCAAATTCTGCATGCATGTCCATCTGGGAGGGGTGGCTCCTGGCTGTGTTTTGGTTGGCGCTCGTTTCTCTGTGTGCATGGACGTTGACACATGTTTCACTCATACCTTCTTCGAACCTCACCTTCAACAATTCCATGATCTTCAAACAACACAACTTCTTTCGAACCTGTCGTAGCCTCACTACATCCCTACTTCCATGGAAACTCAACACACCACCATGAACATCAACAATCCCCCGCAATCCCTCTACAACTGCATTCGATAGTAAAAATGGTGTGCTTCCGGGCACGATCTCAACGCGGAGCCATCCTTTTCCATGTCTCTTGAGGAACAAGGCTTCTTCACTATGGAGCAGTCCGCCATTTCCAAATCGGAAAACACATTTCGAGGTCCTCTTCTCACCTCAACACCTCTGAGTGCCTTCAACAAATGAGGAACACGATCACTTCCAATAATCGTGCGGCTGGCTCCTGTGTCCAAAATGGCTTCATCAAAATCCTCTTCCAGATGTCTGGTGGGCATGAAGCCTGTTTCACTGGAAAAGTATGGCTCAAGCCTCGAAAGGCATGCGTCCCGGCTGGCTCGTCACGCTTCAAATCATTGTGAGGCCTAGCACGGTGGTTCAAAGCACGGGACAACGCATTCTTAAACCCCGAGAGTTCCAATGACACAAAACATTCACCAACCTCACAACTACCAACCTTCAAAAACTCCATCACTGAATCTGTCAAAAAACTCTTTCTGGGGGTTCATGGAAAACTCCTGACAGGGTTTCAAATATTTTTCAGGTAGGTTTGGACTCTCCTGGATCTCATCCGGCAGGTCTTCGGGAAGTTCTTCTGGAGTCATCTCTGTGAAGTCCTCCGCCATGGTGGCCATCTCTGTCTGGCGGTCTGTTCGATCAGCTCTCTGAGGGCATTCCCGTTTCCAATGCCCTGCCTTGCCGCAAATCCTGCAAGTCGAATTGGCAATTCTCTCTGCCAGTGTCTTGCGGGGTGGAGCTGACCAAGACATCTTTCCTCCTTTCTTTCCTCCGCCTCCACCAAAGCCTTTGCCTTTGCCTGTCGAGCGAGGGGGCCAAAAGCCCCGATGACGAGCTCGCTCCTTCAAGCGAGATCGTGCTTCTTGATAGCTCAGGAAGCACTGTGACAAATCTCCGGATTCTTGGACTGCCTCGATGATCTGTTCTTCAAACTCTTGAATGAAGATGGCGTCTTCATCTCCCTGTTCCAGGAGGGTCTGGTAGGCATGCTCCTCATCGAAGGTCTCCTCGGTGGTCATCATGACTGGTTCCGTCTCGTCAACGGTGTGGACATCGTAGGTCTTCAACTTCCGATTTGACCCTCCCTGTAGATCCTGGAAGAACCGTGAGCCTAGGAGCCTCATGGCTTCACGGGTTGCTTCATAGGTGAGCACTCCTTTGTTGTCAATGATGATCTTCTTCTTCTCTTCACTGGTGAGTTGAGAGTGCCGAATCATCACGTATGCTCGAATTTCTTCGAGCGTCACTCCCTTGTCCTTCTGGAGGATCTCCTCAAAGCACGCCTCATGTCTTGCAATGAAACGATCATTGCTCTCATCTGGTTTCTGGGTAGTCAAAAACAAAGCCCGTTCAAACTTCACATAGCGATCCTCGTTGAGGAAGCGACCCCACTGCATCCCCAAAGCTGCCAGGATTGCTTCGCAACCACCGTTGGACTTCAGCTTGGCCGGATCTATCTTTGACACCTTTTTGAGGGTGCGACAGAATCGCACTGCAACGCCACTCTGGGCGCAAGATGTCCGATATGTTCCTCCGGCCAGATCGAAGCTAAAAAACATGAGTTTCTTCGCGAAGTCTTCCAGATCGGTCTCCCCTGCAGTGAAGCTGGGGATTTGGCCCCATGGGAGCTGACTTGTCGAAATCGAGCTTCGCCCCTCACCATCATCGGTCGCCGCTGCTTTCGGCGCCATGACACCGAATGCACACCCTGGTGCAACCTACGTGAAAACACGTGAGAACAAAATTTATCAACACCTGAAAACCTGCCTCCTGTTTGGAGGCTCCGCTGCCAATGCGAATCCTGTAGGTAATGGACCTCCTATCCTACCTACTCCTAGGTTGCCTCTACCTACAACCAACCCTGTGAACGGACCCTGTCCTTGTTTCCTCCGTGCGTCTCAAGTCCCACAACCCCGCCCTCCCTTGGACTCGTGCCAGAAGCGGGGCGATACGAACTCTGCTCGACGGTGACTGCACATTTCACAATTATAATATATATATATATGTGTGTGTGTGTGGTGGGAAGCTGGTTGGGGCATCTAGAATCGAAAGGCAGCACATTGCGCTTGTCTGTCTGTGCAATTTTCCTCGCAGAGCAGCTCTGACTTTGAGCTGGAAAAGTTTGGATCTGCAAAGACAAAGGAATTGTCGCCGCACGGGGCAACCCACAAACTACCAAAACTGGAGCTCTTCAGTTTCCCGTCATTGCGCATGTCATTCGCCTGACTGGAAGCAGTCCCAATTGGTACCACCTGCATCATCATGAAGGTGTCAACTTGAGAGATTGCACAATGTAGTCCAAGTATTTCTTTCCAGTTGGCCCCTTGTAGTTGGGGTCTATCCGATTGGCCGGTGTCTGTGCGATGGCAAAGGTCACAGTGCCTTTCCGCAGGATTGCCTGGCCAAAGCTGCCGACAGGCGGCACATCCGTGGGCACTTCCCCGGGGCCGCCCGCGCTCAAAACCTCAGAGAGCGGCATCAAGGACTTTCCTCCCAGCCCCTGCACTTCGGACTCTTGACCAGTCCGAAGACTGGAGGGCTGCGCTTGAGTAGTTGCATGCCACGTCAGGATTGATTGATCTGGTTTTGGCCCATCGGTGATTTGGAAATCCACAATTTTGATGTCCAGCTGTGGCAGTTGCACACCTATCTGATTTGCAAGGGCTTGCTGGCCCGCACGCATCAGCCATTCGGCGATGTTTCCCCCCGTGACCGGTTCAAGGGCAACCTCCTTCCAATCACTACGCTGCTCGTCCCCTGCACGCGGCATGTACTGCGCGCTGCGCAACAATGCTGGAAGCGTCAAGCGCGCACAACGCACCGTCACCATTTCGTTTGGTTGGTTGGACTGGAGCTTCGCAAACTCTTCAGGGTCGACACTCAAAATCAATCGGCCAGGATAGTTGTCAAACTCCTTTTGCCATGTCACGGGGGGCTGAATGCTAAAGTCGCCAGTGGGGCTTTGCACCCTGTCGAGGTACGGATCCGCCGTGGGTGTCGTGGGCGCCGTCACAACGTCGGCTTCCTCAGCCCAGGCAGGCGCCGTCAGAGTGCTCAGGCTCATGGCACCAAGGGCATGACGGCGCCCTGGAGTTGTCCAAGAGAAGTTCCACGGCGCCAAGTTGGATGGACAAAATGAAAATCTCTCAAAGACCAAGAGAGCTGCCCCAATCAAGAGAACCCGAGCCCTGCCCACATGCCGCGCCATGGGATGCAGGCGGACAGTCGTTGCTTAAGAAGTCAGAACCCTCAAAAATGGAGGTTAGAATCAAGATCTGTGCAAAGCTATTTCATGACATGGTCTGTCTTGCGTGTCACAGGTGCCCACATTGCACACCCTACCATAGTTGCGATTTGCTCTATACTTTGCGTTACCTGTTCCGCTCATGAGCTGCTGGTCTCACTGACACGTGAGCTGCATGCAGCAACTTCGTCCCATCCAAACAAAGTATCTCATTTACTTACAGTATATAGAATTGTTCATCTTCCATGACTTCTGTGATTTATCCAACTCAACAAAATGTGGCAGCTTCGCAGCTTCATTAGCCTTACTGCTTGTCCACGATGCCCTGCCTGATCAGAATGACTTGTTGTTTCCTCGGCCTGTGCGGTGATTCGGCCTGATGGCTATCCTAAAAGAGCTTGCATTGCGCCAATGAGTTTCGCGGCTAAGAACATCAAAGCAAGAAGAAAAGAGAGTGTGACTAAGTTGTTCTCTATTGAAACTCAGTGCCGGAAGCTCAAGAGTCGCAAAGCCGGTGGTCCCACCGTCAAGCAAAATCAAGCAAGCAAGCAGCAAGCAAGTATTTTTGCTGACTTTTCGCAGCAGGAGAATGCAAAGGGCTGCATTTGTGCATTCAAAGCCCATCGAGTCCAAACAGTCAGGAGCCCATCTCTGGGTGCCAACCTGCCAAATGGAACCTCTGCTTCAAATGATGCTGCTGCATTGCCAGACTGCCAGGGTCGCACCAATCTACAGGTCCAAGGAATCCACCAGCAAAGACACCACCGCTACGCAACAAATCAAGTGGAACACCTGCAGCTACGGCAGCATCACGGCACCCGGACAGGGGGAAAAACTGCATAAAGAACACCAAGCAATGTAAACCCATTCCACCGCCGAACATGACTTGCTATCCTGTGGGCCTGAATTAAGCCGCCATACTTCGTGAAGTCACCAAAGGTATAGCCACCATCTTTCATCACCTTCTTCCCACATTCACTACTACCGAGTAACAAGGGCATCGCTATTGGTAACCACTTCATCTCACCTTTCTGCCGACGTCCCGTGTCGTTTCTAAAGTCTCGCGCATGTTTCTCGAAGCTTCACCAATAGTTGACCATATGCAGCTTGGGGGCCATCAAGTTGGTCTGATATCCCAATGGGGATGTCAAGCACGTTCCGGCTGCAAACACCATCACCTGCTGAAAGCAACATGAAAGAAGGGAACGGTCTGTAAGTAGCACAAGTCCACAGCTCCCTGCCATGCTTGTCTGAACAAACACTTGTGCCGGAAAGTCCGTTGGAAGGACCTCTAACCAACGGGGTCCCTCCAACTTTCACCTATATAGCCTCTTTGTCCCTCCAACATTTGTCCAACCTATATAGCCTCTTTGCAAAAGAGCTTCAAGAACACAAACAAAAACGAAGCAAAAACATAAAAACAAGTCCTGGGTAACTTTCTTGTGCTTCTTGTCCTGTCTCTTTTCTCTTGGTTCCTATGTTCAGTGGAATTAGGAAAACTGAAGAAATGAACCCAAAAAAATACAACATAACTCAAGAAAGTTAGAACTGAAAAGCGCTTTAAAAAAGCAATACATAAATAACAAATAATAAACAACATACAGCATGTCCAGGGGGTCAGTGTTTGCAGTGTTGTTTGTTTGTTCATGTTCGGTCTTTTTCACTTGTCTGTTTCTATTGTTTTGCGTTGTGTCTTTTGTGGATGCAAACTGGTGCATGATGGAAGGATTACAAAAGTGCGGTACGTCTGAGACGCAGCATTTCGAAGAATAGAGCCAGCAAACTGAAAGGCGCAATTGAAGGGAAAAATGCCAGGAAAGGTCACGCCCAAGATGGCAAGACAGTATGGGAACAGGCTCATGGGCCATGACGCATATCACAACTTCTGCCACACACTGCAGGGACCCAGTGCTTGAGTACTGATACCAAGCGTTAAGTGCGAAGCCTGTTGCGGAGCTGTAACATTGAAAAATCCTACCGCACGCACTTGATTGAGTGCGACGCGCCATATTACGCTGCATGTAGACTAAATGTGTCACTCACACGATTTTTTGCCTACCAAACCACCAGACCCCGTATGGAAGCTATGGATAGTTCGGGAGTGCAAAGGCTATGACACATGCAGTCAGTCACTTCAAAAGGAGCTGGAATGACACTCTCTTGGCAGCGAGGCTTTCCAGCAAATCCATCCATCTAAGAGCAATCTGACTTGGAGAGGGAGGAGCGACAAGAATGTGGTCTTTCGGAAGAATGCAATTGTTGAATCATTGAACTGAATGAAGAACATCGGCAAGGATGAACGTGCCTGTGTGAGGGCTTTCATGCTTCTCTGCTGGCACAAAATGTCATCATCACAAGCACTGCGCGAGATTGTTGCAAGCATGGGCCCAAGAACAGCCTCCCGAGCACAGAGGAAATGCACAGTTTCAGTTCAAGTGCCAACAAACATTAATTGATTTTGAAGAACAACTCAAGCTGTCAGCCAAGCAGCAACTGTTGCCGAATTGTTCATGAACATCGAAAGAAAGGCACTCAGCACATATACTGCCACCCGTACACATATACTGCCACCTGGCAGCGCATACTGCGTGAGCCGTCTGGCTGCAAACCTCGTGGCCAGTACCGCACCCATTGTGATTTCCAAGAGCTGTTGGGCGACTGGAACTCGTGAGGAATCAACGGGTGGCTAGATCCAGCGGAACCCCTTATTCCCTACCGAGAAGTGATCAAGTAAGTAGCAGGCGGTACTAAAGGCCGTGAGAACCAACAGCAAAACGATTCATTTTGCCCTGACTGCTGCCTCGGCACATGGCAACCCCGCTGGCTTGCAGGGCCATAGACAGACCGCTGGCACCCGCAATTGTAAGAAGCACTGGCCCTTTGATTGCTTTGTAGACCTCGGCTACTAGTCAGACATAGGCAAAGCTCTTGTCCATCTTCATCTACGTCAGAAAATGCTTCCAACTTCTATAACTTTTGAAACAGCTGACGGCGGTCATGCTGTAGGCATTGGTCAGCACCAGGAATAATACCTCGGAGCACACGGTGAAATTGCTGCTTGACACCAGCACTTGACAAGGTGCACGCACAAACGTATACCTGATTGCGCAAACATGGTGCAAAAATACCTGCGCCTGCTGCCAAGTCAACAACTTCCAAAGTCACCAATACAATCAAAATTGCCATGCCAAGGCAAACCAGCATACAGCCTGGCAGGAAGTGTGTGTTATCGCCAGGTTGTCAACATAAGAGATGAAGCAATGTCAACCATGAAATTTCCACATTAAGACGAGAATCGGAGCTGATCATGGACCCCACCCACACGAATCGGGCTTGAATTTGGCACTGGCTTCGTAATGGAGAAAACCTACCGGCAAACAGGGAGCGCCGGGAGCGCCATACAAACTCAGCTCACAACTGCAACGAACAGTGCAGGTGCAACTGCTGAGTGGCTCTTGCAAAGAAAGGAGGCCTCGGACTTTCACATATACTGATGGACTTACAGTATGTAGTCTGGTATTACAGTAGGTATGTGGTAATTGTCTTTTTCTCTGCAGCTTTTCAAAAAGCGGTAGAGGGTCTCTTCAAGAGCTCAATCCAAAATAATTGCCCCTTCTGGTCGCCCTGTGTTTTTCTTGGCTCCTACAGTAGCCCCTTAAATTCACATGGGCGACCACTTCGCTGGCTTATCTAGCCTCACCCCTTTTCTTCTGCGATTCCATTCTTCTTCTTCCTCTTCTTCTTCTTCCTCTTCTTCTTCTTCTTCTGCTTCTTCTTCGAGATGCCCACCCCCAACCTTCAAAAATTGACAACAGCAAATGGAGGTCCAATCTTTTTGCCAGCACCGACGGTTTACAGTAAGGCGTTCGCATTGCGCTGATATCCTTCCTTCATTGACCCCATTCCCAACACCAAGAAAGTTTCCCTAGGAACCACAATTGTGCGAGCCTTTCTTCAAGAAATCTCCCCCAGCCCTCAGGTGGGGACGAGCTATCTTGGAGTCCAGTTACCAGGAGCGTGTTTAGTACCTAATAGCGGCTTAGCCCCCCAGGCTTAGAAGAACAAGAAAAAACAACTTGCAATAAACATGTAAAACTTCAAAACTGGAAGCGGGAGGAATAGGTGTAACAAAAGCAATACAACGCAACAAAGCACTTGTCCGTCGGGCGAGGTCTTGCTTACCCCCTATTTGATTTATATAAGTTTTTTTGGGGCATGAAGTCATATCTGACAGAGGTTGCCAAATAGCGTAAAGCACCTTGATGCATGACATGCACTGACACGGACAACTAGCCAATTACATAGAGCTGACTGACACAAACATTCTGGGAATGGAGCTGGGGTGCGTGTTATTCTATGGCCAACTGTCCGTGCGGCCGGAGAATTTAAGGCGCTTTGCAAGATTGACTTCTGGTGCATCAGCGTCGGCATGATAAAAATATGAAGTGCATGCGGCCTCCTGCCAAAGCTTGCCGGCCACATATCGCTCATCTGCCTCCAGAAGGACAATGTCACCAGCTTCGGGCACACAAGCGCCGGCGTCCTGCCCACGCCGTGTGCACCTTTACATGCCTTTTTCTGCGCAAGCCTGCTACTGTAGCAAAGCCTATGTCGCAACCGGTCCTTCCCACGAATCGCAATTGGGCAGGCCCCCAATCCCTGTCTGAGGGCCTGACAAAATGCAATGGCCACTCAAGAAATGCCTACTAGAACCAAGGTAGTCGAGGAGCATCAAAGTCAAATGGCTCATCGGCTATCATACTTCCAGGGGCAAGGCACGCTTCCTTACCAAGAAACTTCAAGTCAAAGGAAATCGAAACAGCCCCGTGCCTAAAAGCATCCAAAATATCAATGTCTGGAGTACAAATATCCGCTTTTGGGCTTGCTGCTTGGCTACATACAGGTGCCGCCGCTCGCGCTCCATTCCAAGGGCTCTCAAAGCATCCTGGTCAAGCAAAGCGCTTAAGCCGACCAACTCGCCCAAACAAAACGAAGTGAGAAACATTGAGAAACACCGTTGTGCAGGAGAACGGGAATCTGCAGATTCGAAAGGCAAGTTTATTGGCTGATTGTCCTCGCTTGCTATGCGCAGTCCCTTCATCTGACGAAGGGAAATGACCCCGATCTCATCGACGAGAAAGCAAACCTCCTCACTTCCCGTTAAGCAGTCGTGCTCTTCAGTCTTTCTCCACATGTCTTGGACACCTGATAGGCGTTTCAGCTGCATAGAAGCAATGGCAAAGTCCATGCCCACGTAAGGAGACTGTGGCCACAAACTGAAGTTTACCGCATAGAGGTTTTCCCTGCTGACAGTTTCCGCTGCATCATCTTGCCTTGTTTCTGGGGTTGCGGACGATGCTAGAAATGGCAAAGATAGCGCCATTATGAAAAATGTGGCGAAGGACAGGATTGCACCAGAGTATGAAAGATCAAAAAAGCTCATCTCGTAGAGATCTTTGTCCACACTCTCCCGTGCCACCAAACAATGAGAGGAGCCAATAAGTGTGCAGGATCCTCCAAGTTGAGCCTTGTGCATCGACGACACATGACCCCAAAAAGATACAAAACAATGGTCTGGCTAACGAAGCTCATGTTGACCAGAAAATGTTCGAAGTAGATGAACTGCAGTCAAGATTCGGCAAAAGACAACGGCATAAGAAGCTTACCAGGGTGTACACCCAAGGTTCGGGACCACGATACGATTATTGGTATCATCATAGTGACAATAGCAGTGTTGCTGAGGAATGCCTTAGGTAAGAGGGACAAATCATACTATTTCATGTGCCCGTCTTGCATGTTCAAAGACAGCAGCTAGCAGCTACCATACAGTGGCCGCAGTTCAGTGCACAATGAGGACAGTACAGACAAAAGGGCCACTGGGATGAGCATTCGGAAGAAGGCCTCAGAGGTGAAGTTCTGCACAGAACACGAGAACGAGATACCAGTTTGAGCTGCCAGTACGCTCCTTAAGGACCACAGCAACATCCCATCAAGAAACTCTAGGTCAGCAAAGCTGCTACATGGAAGGACTGAGGGCTCCCGAGCATCGCGCCAATAGCACAATCAAGTACACCTCAACAAGCCATGCTTAAACCACAAACTCCAAACTACACTATGGTGTTGAGTGTTGACAAAATGGCAGATGTAGACTGTAGACCTTCAAAGTGCTGGTTGACACTATAACCTCTCAACTTCATGCATGATGACTTGGTGCGCCTGTTTCCTCAATAGCTGCCGCGATAGGAAATAGCAAGGCCAAGGCAACCACACTTCCACTACCCAATCCAGCCCAAACCTGCAGTGAATGTCTAACCAGGCGAGTCAACTCGTTCCGAAGGATGAGTCAAAGCACCTGTTCCAAAAGAGTGAAGAGGACAAAGGAAGAAGGTGAACTAAAGAATAACTGATTTAAAAAAAACAAGATGGGGCCCACGAACCCGAATGCAAACACATATGTCAATCCACTGTGTTTAGAAAGAAACACAGCCGGTTAGAGTCTCTTTTTCACGCTCCGGCACGCTGTTGGACATCATGCGCTGGGGACTCCACCACCAAGGCAGCATGTGCTGGGGACTTCACCACCAAGCTCCGTCTTCGTCATGAAGGGTCTTCGTTTTGCGTTCAAATCAAGCACTGGCGATCCACATCACGAAAGAAACAATGGCATTGTCCCATAATCTCAAAAAGAAGCACTTGAAAATGATAACCGTCCACATAATACAGAGAAATCCACAACTGCGGCGTCTGATCTTCTCGTAAATAGGAGTGCAAGACCGTGCGTTGTTGTGTTTCACCTGCGTCAACAAGAAGTATATGAGACACACACAACGGAAGTGAGTAAAACTATCCTATAGGTCATGTCATTCGTCCAACATTGGCATCGGTCCCGTATGTGTGTGCACACTCTTGTGGGACACTCTTGTAGGACACTCTTGTGGGACACTCCTGTAGGACACTCTTGTGGGACACTCTTATAGGACACTCTTGTGGGACACTCTTAAGGGGCACTCTTGTGCGAAACTCTTGTGGGACACTGTTGCGGGACACTCTTGTGGGACACTCTTGTGGGACGCTCTTACGTGACACTCTTGTAGGACACTCTTGTAGGACACTCTTGTGGGACACTCTTACGGGACACTCTTGTAGCACACTCTTGTAGGACACTCTTGTGGGACACATTTGTG